TGTGTGTGTGTGTGTGTGTGTGAGTGTCTGTATGCTAGGTGTGTCCAAAGAGGGAAACCTGCAGTCACTGTCCTGCAGAGTTAGGGACCCTGTGACAGTGTAGCTGTGTGTGTGTGTGTGTGTGTGTGTGTGTGTGTGTATGCTAGGTGTGTCCAAAGAGGGAAACCTGCAGTCACTGTCCTGCAGAGTTAGGGACCCTGTGACAGTGTAGCTGTGTGTGTGCGCGCGCTCACACACGCGCGCGCGCTGCGCATGTCCAGAGAGGGAAGTCCTGCAGGTCGCTAGGCAGCACAGGTATATGGTCCTGAGCGTTCCCTGTTGCAGGGTGGTTTCGCTTCCCCCACCCACCCCCAGAATGCCTTGTCGCTAGCTGTGGGGGTGGCCAGGCCCCACCCCGCCCCAGCTTACTCACCTGGCCTTTGCAACAGCCGGGACAGTGGACTTTGCTACTGATCGGACACTATCAAGGTCTGTGCCGTGTGCAGAGAATGTTCTGTGTGCCCACGAGGTCATGGGGAGGACCCCGGCCCGGGGTCGCCTCCATTCTGCGTGGTGCAGCTGTTCAGTGCCTCCTGAGTAGGGGTGGGGAGGGACAGGACCGGCCTGAGATGGCCAAATACCCACCTTCAAGCCCTGGAACCACCAGCAAGAATTTCATCCCCTGGTTTGACTCATTGATGTCCCGCCCACCCCTCCTGCCCTGCCTGCCCTGGGAAGGGGGTCAAAGGAGATGCCAAGGCCACTGTGTGTGGGCTCCTGGCCACCTTCCAGGGGGCGGTGCCCCACCGTGCCACCCAGTGTAGAGGCAGGAGGAAAGGACAGGTTTCGGCTGGCCTGGGGGGAGGTGGCAGGTGAGCAGAGGGTAGGCTGATCGGCTCCTTTCTGTCCCCTCTGCAGGAGCCCCGGGCAGCGGTGTCCTTGCCAGCGGCAGAGGGCGCAAAGGATGCCCCGCACCTTGGAGCACCAGGAGGGCGGCTGGGCCTGGGCGGTGCTGCTGGCCTCCATGCTGAGCCAGGGCCTCACCCTGGGCTTCCCCACCTGCACCGGCGTCTTCTTCACGCAGCTGCAACATGACTTCCAGGCCAGCAACAGCGAGACGTCCTGGTTCCCCTCCATCCTCACAGCGGTGCTCCATGCAGGAGGTGAGCAGCCAGGGGACGGGACAGGTGGGACTGGTGCGAGGGAGCCACGGTTCCCTGCCATCTGGGTTCTCCCTGCACAGACTTTGCCTTGTGGGGTAACTGTTGGTTATTTCACCCGGTTCCAGCAGGGCCAGCCCCTTGGCAAGAAACCAGCTGGCCTGAGTTGTGGCCCCACAGGCCAGGCCCTCGGTATGCTGGGCTTCCTGTGGAACCAGGGCTGGGGTCAGCCAACCAAATCTCTTGGATGCTTCAGCTGGGTGATCTCTCTGAACTTCAGTTTCCCCCCTCTGCAGAATGGGGGCAGCAGTCAGCACCCAGCACCCTGACTCCATGGGATGGTGGGGGAAACCCAAGGGGACCCACTCGGGGG